GCAGCCAGTAGGAAGAAAAGGTGAAACCACTGATGGGCTCCACAGAAGGGGTCCTTGAGAAAGAGGTTGGGGAGATTTAGGGCAGGGGTGAAGGGATTGGCTTTGGGCCAAGAGGAGGAACTCTTTTTTTTTTTAATTGAAGTATACTTGGCGTACAATATTGTATAGGTTACAGGTGTACAATATAGTGATTCACAATTTTTAAATATTATACTCCATTTATAGTCATTATAAAATATTGGCTGTATTCCCTGTATTATACAATATATACTTGTAGCTTAAAAAGTGTTTTTTGGAGTATAGTTGTTTTACAATGTTGTGTGAGTTTCTACTATATATCCTTGTAGCTTTTTATGCATAATATTGATAGTTTATACCTCTTAATCCCCTACCGGTATATTGCCCCTCTCTCTTTCCCTCTCCCCACTGGTAACTGATGGTTTGTTCTCTATATCTGTGAGTCTGCTGCTTTTCTGTCGTATTCACTAGTTTGTTGTAATTTTTAGATTCCACTTCCACATGTAAGTGATATCATACAGTATTTGTCTTTCTCTGTCTTATTTCACTTAGAATAATAGCCTCCAAATCCATCCATGTTGTTGAAAATGACAAAATTTTATTCTTTTTTATGTCTGGGTAGTAGTCCATTGTATATATATATATATACATATATATATATATATACACACATACACATCACGTCTTCTTTATCCATTCATCTGTTAATGGACACTTAAGTTGCTTCCATATCTTGGCAATTGTAAATACTGCTGCTATGAACATTGATGTGCGTGTATCTTTTCGAATTCGTGTCTTTATTTCTTTCAAATATATACCCAGGAGTGGAATTGCTAGGTCATATGGTAGCTCTATTTTTAGTTTTTTGAGAAACCTACATACTGTTTTCTACAGTGGCTGCACCAATTTACATTCTCACCAACAGTGTACAAGGGTTCCCTTTTTTCCACATCCTCTCCGACATTTGTTACTTGTGTTCTTTTCGATGATAGTCGTTCTGACAGGTGTGATGTGATATTTCACTGTGGTTTTGATTTGCATTTCCCTAGTCATTAGCGGTTTTGAGCATCTCTTTGTGTGCCTGTCGGCCATCTGCATGTCTTCTTTGGAAAAATGTCTATTCAGATCTTCTGCCCATTTTTTTTTTTTTTTCTTACGGTATGCGGGCCTCTTACTGTTGTGGCCTCTCCCGTTGCGGAGCACAGGCTCTGGACGTGCAGGCTCAGCGGCCATGGCTCAAGGGCCCAGACGCTCCGTGGCATGTGGCATCTTCCCGGACCGGGGCACGAGCCCGTGTCCCCTGCATCGGCAGGCGGACTCTCAAACACTGCGCCACCAGGGAAGCCCCTGCCCATTTTTAAATCAGGCTTTTTGGGTTTTCTTTTGATGTTATATGAGCTGTTTATATAACCCCCCTTACTGCTCATGTCATTTGCAAATATTTTCTCCCATTTCATAGGTTATCTTTTTGTTTTGTTGGTGGTTTCCTTTGCTGTGTAAAAGCTTTTAAGTTTAATTAGGTCCCATGTGTTTATTTTTGTTTTTATTTCCTTTGCTTTACGAGACAGATCCAAAAAAAATATTGCTACGATTTATATCAAAGAGTATTCTGCCTGTGTTTTCTTCTAAGAGTTTTATGGTTTCTGGTCTTACATTTAGGTCTTTAATCCATTTTGAGTTTATTTTTGTATATGGTGTTAGAGAATGTTCTAACTTCATTCTTTTACATGTAGCTGTCCAGTTTTCCCAGCACCAGTTATTGAAGAGACTGTCTTTCCTTTATTGTATATCCTGGCCTCCTTTGTTGTAGATTAATTGATCATAAGTGCATGGGTTAATTTCCAGCCAGGAACTCTTCTTAAAATGGATTCCATTTAATATGATGAACTCTCTGGGCATACCCACAAATTCTGAAGTTTGCATAGATAAACATTAAAAATAAATTTAAAAAATGTATTGCGTATCCTCTTTATCATGATGAAAATATCCTTTTCCCTCTTCCAGGCTCATGACCCTAGTTAGCTGTTACGTTACAGTTTCTTTCCTTTTGCCAGACTCTTGTCAAATGCCTTTCTTTAATTTTGCCTAATGATGGGAAGTCAAATTGTTATGGCTTCCCAGCAAGTTCTCTTTAACCTTTACTTAGCTCGGAGTTTAACTCGGGGCTTGCCATACTAGATAACTTTCGTGGCTATGCACCTAAAAGAAACTTATTAACATCTCTGACCAATTTTTTTCTTGGTTCATAGTCAGAATGGGCACAGGGACTAGGAAATGTACCACAGGAAGAGAAGGGAGTGTTCTTAAACAAAAAAAAAAAGCTACTAAAATTGAGCAATTTCTGGGAAGGATAAAATATTTTTCTTTTACGTGAGCTTAAAGACTGTAAGATTCTGTGAGGTTGGGGACCTGCAGTTATGTTGTGGTTAATGATAGGTTTCAGTGAATGTTCTGAACATAAAAACATAATGAGAAAACACATAAATTCTGATTAAATTCACCCTTAAGCCACAGTAAATAATTTTGGGTGGAAGAGAAATGAATTAAACTTTAAACTTCTTTCCTCTCTTCAGAGGTAGATCACTACCTCCATAAATTCAACCCATAAATGTACTTTCATTACAATAACTTAAATTTTTTGTCGGAGGAGGAGATTCAGTTAACAATTTCATTCCCTGAACATGGTCAGTAAGGATTTTGCTGCATCACATTTTGCTTTTGAGAAACCAGCTTCAGGGAAGTCCATGAATTGGTGAGTTTGGTTGTGGGCATTTATCTGTTCTTTTCTTGTAGCAGCAGGAAATGGGGGCATTAAGCACATTTTAGTTGCCAGAGAGCTTGGCAGGCCTTGTAGGAAGGTTCTTGCAGTATCTCTGAGGGGAAGTTGGTTCCCTCAGTAGAAGTAACAGCAGAAGAGAATGTTGTGGCCTGTGTGCAGGGTTCCAGGGTGCGACAGGGCGATGACAGGAAAGCGCTCCTGGCTGCTCTGGGTTTCGGAGGGCTCCACGGGGCAGCTTGGGCATTCAGCTTTGTTTCTCAGTGCCTGCCCCTGGTATCCCCTGGTATCTCCTTTGTTGGAAGCAAAGAGGGCTGAACCCTTGGGTAGCTGTCAGTGAAGACAAGTTTGTATGGAGCTGTGTGGTCTCAGGCTGCTTTCAACCCCACTCCACCCCTTTGGAGCCCTTCCCTGAGAACAGAGACTTTCTGACCAAAGCCACTTTGCAGTTAACTGGTTTTCAGCCAGGGTTTTCTGGGCATTTCCATTTCTCTCGGAAGCCTAGGGCCTGACGCTTCTAGTTCCCTGCTGCAGTTGGTTTAGCACTGAACAGACACCGGCGTGAGGTGCTTGCACGCTAAGGAGAGTAGGAGCATGGAGTTGATTCTTGGGTTCTTGTTTAGCCCATTCCCTCCATCAGCCCCGACTTACACAGTCAGCTTCCAGTCGCCTCGGGTCACTGGGCTTCCTCTTGCTGTTTGCCAACATGGGGCCCCCGAGAAGGCAGCCCAGGCTGCAGGTCTGGTAACTGCTGCTGAGATGTATTTTTAAACCTACCCAGAGGGCATTACAGGGAGTTCAACGGAAGCATCTCCTATTTCCCCCTTTGAGCCCTAGAGAGACTAATTCTCCGGCTTCCTAACTCCCTCCTCCCATCCCAGCAAGCATTTTCAGGCCCCGGTTTGGGTTTATCGACAACCATGTGTATAATTCATGCAAGACAGGTTACAGTGGAGCGTGTTACCTCTGCTAGTCAAGCATGGCTCAGTAATGCTGCTCCACATTTTGGCCAGGAAGTAGGTTTTATTGGTGTTTGGGCCTGATGTCTTCCTGTCCGGAAGCCTTCCCCTTCCCTTGGTGAGGTTGTTTTAGCAAGCACCATCAGGGAAAACCTACCTTCCTCTTGTCCAGTTGGATAAATGGGTTTCAGGCAAAAACAGGCCATTGTGTAAAGCAGAAGTTCTCGGAGGATAGGGGGGAATGTTTGCTCAAGAGAGTTTGCCCTGGGCAGTGGGAGGCTGAGACTGCCCCGGTAGGCAGTGGGTGCCCAAGCTGAGCCCTGGTGCTGCAGGGTGCTTCGTGGTGGTGTTGCAGTAGCATCTTGGCCTTTTTAGAACTGTGGGATGCTTTGGGAAGAGAGCGCTTCCTAAACTCTTCAGTAAAGGGTGTCTTGCTTTTCCTATCCCATTGTTTTCATATAGCCTGAAATAATGGCGGTGCTGATGCCAGAGAGCTGAGAAGTGAAAGGTTCACTGCCTCCATTTATTGGCCTTTTCTACTGGGTTTTCTGTGAGATTGAATAGAGGCAGGAGATAAATCTCAGCAGGAGCTCTTGGGAGCACAGAGAAGGAGGTGGTGGGACCTGAAAAACAGAAGGTAGCTCCACAGTGAACAGGTTGGGGGAGGGAGGTGGAGAGAGCAGGCACAGGGGAGACCTTCCCAGTGGTCCAGGGTGGCTGAGGTAGAATGTGCGTGGGGAGTGGGAGAGAGAGGGGGCAGCTGTGGCTGGGGAGGAGGCCGAGGCAGGTCCAGGAAGGCTTGCATACTATGCTGGAAAGTTGGGTTTTATCTGGAAGATTTTTAAGCTGAGGAGTGAAAGGTGTGATTTTGGTTTTAGAGAGTTGATTTTGACCGCGCTGTGAGGATGGAAGTAGCAATGGCGGGAATGATGCAGGAAGCCCGGGGGGGAAGGGTTATCACATGACCCACATGAGAAATGGTCAGGGTCTGAACTGAAGGGGAGAGACACACCGAGGAGCTGTGAGGCGAGCACACTTGGGGAATGACTGGACCGTGAAGGCGTCTGACTTGAGAGAGGAGTGAATGGCAGTATCTCTCTCGAAAGTGGGAAACAGGAGGAAGAGTGCTTAAGGGATAGAGGAGAGGATGGCTTCTCAGCAAGCGTTTGTAGAACTGGGTTGAATGGAAACCATGAGCCTTATTCCAAGGCAAGGGCCCCCAAGGTGTGTGCTTATTTTCCTTACAGGAGAGATTTTGGGCCTCACAGGGTGTTACCGGTGAAGATCCACCAGCCCGACCCATTTGTCCCAAGTGAAGAGAATATGGATCTGCTCACGACGTATAAACAAGATTACAACCCGTACCCTGTCAGTCGAGTGGACCCCATCAAACCTCGGGACAGTAAATACCCACGCGGGGACAAGATGGAGTGTCTGCCTACTTATAAAGGTGGGAGAGTACCTGAGGCGCAGGTTGGGGGAAGGATGGGCTGAGCCTGAGTGCTGGCTGGGGAGTGGGTTTTATACACACACCCCCTCAGCGCGGAGGTTGGGCAGAGTACTTTTTGTTTTTTTAAAACATCTTTATTGGAGTATAATTGCTTTACAATGGTGTGTTAATTTCTGCTATATAACGAAGTGAATCAGCTATACATATACATATGTCCCCATATCTCTTCCCTCTTGCGTCTCCCTCCCACCCTCCCTCTCCCACCCCTCTAGGTGGTCGCAAAGCACCGAGCTGACCTCCCTGTGCTATGCGGCTGCTTCCCACTAGCTATCTATTTTACATTTGGTAGTGTATATATGTTCATGCCACACTCTCACTTTGTCCCAGCTTACCCTTCCCCCTCCCCATGTCCTCAAGTCCATCCTCTTCGTCTGTGTCTTTATTCCTGTCCTGCCCCTAGGTTCTTCAGAACCGTCTTTTTTTAGTTTCCATATACCTATGTTAGCATATGGTGTTTGTTTTTCTCTTTCTGACTTACTTCACTCTGTATGACAGACTCTAGGTCCATCCACCTCACTACAAATAACTCAACTTCGTTTCTTTTTATGGCTGAGTAATATTCCATTGTATATATGTGCCACATCTTCTTTATCCATTCATCTGTCGATGGACACTTAGGTTGCTTCCATGTCCTGGCTATTGCAAATAGTGCTGGGCAGAGTACTTTTTGTGGCCAAATCTGGCCCGCAGCCTGTTTCTGTACAGCTAGAGAGCTAAGAAAGCTTTTTAAATTTTTGAATGCTTAAAAATAAATGAGAGAAAGACTATTACTTTAGAACATGTGAATAGTAAGTGAAATTCAAAGTTCAGTATCATGGCTATGTTTTGCTGGAACACAGCCACACCCATCTGGTTTCTCTGTTTTCTATGGCTACGTTTGTGCTACAGCAGCAAAGCTGAGGGGCTGAGACAGGGACCGTATGGCATGCGAGGGCTAACACATTTAACATCTGGCCGCTTACAGAAAGTATCTGCCAACCCCTGCCTCAGCTTGCCGTTCCCATCCTATATGAGGGAAGCATTTCAAGTTTAAGCTTAGTTGAGTTCCACCACTGACTGATGGATTGGTTCATTAAAAAAATTATGAAAACGTAACATACAGAGAAAATGCACAAATACATAATGATACCAGTGGATTTTGAGTAAATACACGTGGAAACAGGATGCAGATCAAGACATATAGCCTTGATACTCCCTTCCAGTTACCATTTCCACCCAGGATAGAACCATTATGCTGACTTTTAACTTCATAAATTAGTTTTGCCAGGTTTGAACTTCATTTTAATGGGACGATTGCATTCCTCATTGAGCACCTCCTGCATCCCAGGCATGGTATTGGGAACTGTGAAGGAAGCATAACGACCTGCCCTTGACTTTACAGTCTAGTGGGAGAGACAGGGTGTGGAGTGGCGGGTGTGGTAGCGCAGGCAGCGTGTCACTCTCGCTCTCTCCGTGGAGCACGAGCCACAGGGCTGAGACCATGGGGATGGAGGCCCGCTTTGTGACCATTGACTTTGCTGCTTACGATGCATGTGGCTGCCTTGAAAGTATGTGCTAAACTGTTCCTGTCACATGTCTGTGGGTGTCTACGTGATTGTGATGATAACGGCTTTTACTTAGCCATGCCAAACACTTAGCCGAGGGGAGGTGGGGAGGCTTGCGGGGTTGTAGGAATCTTCCTGAAGCCCTTCCAGGAGCTCTAAATCTATTATTCTTGAAGATTCTGCATGTGGCTGAGCTTCTCTGCTTTTTGTTTTTCTTTTTTTTGTGAGTGTGTGTGTGTCCTTTTACTTTCTTACCTTCAGTGTCGTCCTCTTCCACTCTTCTGTAGCCGCCTTCTGCCAAGCCACATTCTGGATATCGTCATACCCCTGCATGGCTCCACCTTCATGCCCTCCATCATCGGGTCCTTCTGGCTTGCTGCCCTATTTACACCCACCTTGACAGTCCTTGGCCTCACTGGGATCTCCAGCCCACTGATGCCTCAGCCTTCCTTCTCAGCATCAGCCCCGCCTGTGCCTGTCATCATACAGCCTATTCCACATTATATCTCTGCAGCCCCTCTCTTACTCCCTCTCTCTTCTGTCCTGCGGTTGCTTCCTCCTAGCAGCAACCGAACCCTGTCTTCTCCATGTCTACACCTGGACATGTGCCTGAGCATCGCTCCGACCTTTTCAGCTCATCTCCATTATCCACAGAATGGAAGCAGAGAGGGCTTTTGCAGATGGCAATCTCACATGACCTCTGCCTAAAACTCCTTAAGTAATTATTATGGTTCTTAGGATAAAAATCCCACACCTTTACCAACTCCTCTGCTTCCTTGCAGATTTGGTTCCTTCTCCCTGAGCCCCTCTGCTCCGACCACAGGAACTTCGTTCAGTTCCTTTGCTCTATTTCTTTTCTGTCTCAGGGCATTTTGCACTGCTCTTCCCTCTTTAGAGAGCTGTCCTCCTGTCTCCTGTCCAGCATCATCCTTCAACGAGTGGTGGAAGGATCACACCTTCGGAGGGAGTCCCAGACCTTCCCTCATGCCAGACCAAACACACCCTGTTAGGTGCTCTAAGAGTGTCTTGTACTCGCTTGTTTTGTAATTCATTTTGTAATTTTGTTTAACATTGTCTCCTTGGCTAGACTGCAAGCTCCTGGAGGGCAGGGATCTTTTTCTTTGCCTGTTACCCTCAACAAAGCAGGCACCATAGCAGATGTTTTACTAAGGGGTCAGCACAACCACGCATGTGGTGGGATGGCACCCAGGCCTCTGCAGGGCTCATTTGTCTCCCTTTTCAATCAGTGTTTACAGGAGGGCCAAAAATGGACGCTGAGAACCAGGAAAAAACAAAGCTGGAGTGAGCACTTCCTTCACTGGGGGAGGGGCAGGGACTTGGTCGGGCTCATCCAACTACATCCTCTACTTTCCACATCCTCCCTGTGGGCTGCCTGGATTTACACATCTTGGAATAGTTAGAGATTCTTCAGAACAACTGCCTGCTCAGCTCAGTTTTCCTTCCCCGCCTTGCCCTACATGCAGGGAGGGGTCTAGGGGTGAGAAATGCTCCTTGCTTTCCTTAGGGGTTGGCAAGGATGGAGTAGCCTAGTGGTGTTATTTTAAGGAAAGTCCCCCCACTTCCTCCCACAAAATACTCACCTCTCAAAATCAACACACAGAAAAAAAAAAACCGAAACAACCTAATACTTAAGTTTTAATCTCTCCTACCTCCAGCTCTCCCATATTCCTCCCCTTCTCCAAACAGTTACGTCTCAAATTGCCCTCTGCAAACCAGAGAATACTATTCTGCTGCTAAAACTGAATCACGGCTGACTTTTCCCTACTGAGAAAGTTAAGACTGAGAAAACCTTATTTACTTCTCTTTTATTTTTCTTAAACTTCTGGCACCTGTTAACTGCTATCTACCTACACATATTTAATGAATGTATACCAGTGGAGTAGCAACAGGACTCTTCTGAACCAGGCAGGCTTAGACCCTTTTTTTTTTTTTTTTAATTTATTTTTGTCTGCGTTGGGTTTTCGTTGCCCTGCGTGGGCTTTCTCTAGTTGCGGCAAGCAGGGGCTACTCTTCACTGGGGTGCACGGGATTCTCATCGCGGTGGTTTCTCTTGTGGCGGAGCACAGGCTCTAGGCGCACGAGCTTCAGTAGTTGCAGCATGTGGGCTCAGTAGTTGTGGCATGCAGGCTCAGTAGTTGTGGTGCACGGGCTTAGTTGTTCTGCAGCATGCGGGATCTTCCTGGCCCAGGGATTGAACTCGTGTCCCCTTCATTGGCAGGCGGATTCTTTTTTTTTTTTTTTTTTTTTTAATTTTTGGCTGTTGGGTCTTTGTTGCTGCACATGGGCTTTCTCTAGTTGCGGTGAGTGCGGGCTAGTCTTCGTTGCAGTGTGTGGGCTTCTCATTGCGGTGGCTTCTCTTGTCGTGGGGCACGGGCTCTAGGTGTGTGGGCTTCAGTAGTTGTGGTGCACGGGCTCCAGTAGTTGTGGCTTGTTGGCTCTAGAGCACAGGCTCAGTAGTTGTGGCACACAGGCTTAGTTGCTCTGTGGCATGTGGGATCTTCCCTGACCAGGGATCGAACCTGTGTCCCCTGCATTGGCAGGCAGATTCTTAACCACGGTACCACCAGGGAAGTCCTGACCCTTTGGCTTTATTCTGGCTACATATGTACTTGAGGGTGGATTTCATAGTTCTCCTCTGAAATTCAGGTTTAAAAAGAAACAAATCAGTTTGTAGTCAAAGAGAACATATTTGTCATTAGAATTCACCTATAGGTGTCAGTTTGCAACCTATGTGTCTTAGTAGTTTTTTGAATAATACTTGCCATTTCATATAATCTCAGTGGTTTATTTTTTCCATTACTCCTCTATGATATAGTGGCTTCCAAAACTTGGTCTTGAATGCCAAACATGCACTTACAGTTTTTAGCACAGGAGATGCAGCAACAAAGATGTGTTTAGTGAGGGAATAAATGAACGAATGGTTCTGGATCACTGTTTACAAGGGCTCCAGGTGACACCTTTTGGCATTAGATTTGCACAAATCCCCATCAGGTCTGTTACTCTGTGGGTGCAGGCCAAGAGCAGGAGTGAAGATTAGAGAAGACCCATGACATTTACTCTGCCCTTTGGTTGGTCCTGCACAACCTCATGTATCTTTGAGGGTCCACATCCTTGCCTTATCTCTTGGTTTATCACTCATTTGATGACTTGTTTCTCTTGTGGAAATTTGCTTTCATAAGTCTTTTTCGTAGCAACCTTCATAGTTTTGTGGCCATACATTGATTCTCCTTACAAAGGAGGGGAAAAAAGAAATCAAAGACCAAGGTCATTAAATATATGTATTTCAATGGGTGCATCTATATTACGTCTATATGCTCTGCTTACTATGGTTCCATAGGAAAAATATTCAAAGTTTTCTCTTACTACTCTTAAGGC